TAGAAGCTTCTGATAGGCTAATTGACATCATTTGAGTCAATTGGAGGTGTACCTGTGGATGTATTTCAAGGCCTACCTTCAAACTCAGTGCCTCTTTGCTTGACATCATGGGAAAATCAAAATAAATCAGCCATGACCCCAGAAAGAAAATTGTAGACCTCCACAAGTCTGGTTCATCTTTGGGAGCAATTTCCAAACGCCTGATGGTACCACGTTCATTTGTACAAACTATAGTACGCAAGTATAAACACCATGGGACCACGCAGCCGTCATACCGCTCAGGAAGGAGACGCGTACTTGGTGCAGGACAATGACCCCAAGCATACTTCCAAAGTTGTGGCAAAATGGCTTAAGGACAACAAAGTCAAGGAATTGGAGTGACCATCACAAAGCCCTGACCTCAAACCTATAGAAAATGTGTGGGCAGAACTGAAAAGGCGTGTGCGAGCAAGGAGGCCTACAAACATGACTCAGTTACACCAGCTCTGTCAGGAGGAATGGGCCAAAATTCACTCAACGTATTGTGGGAAGCTTGTGGAAGGCTACCTAAAATGTTTGACCCAAGTTAAACCATTTAAAGGCAATGCTACCAAATACTAATTGAGTGTATGTAAACTTCTGACCCACTTGGAATGAGATCAAATAAATAAAAGCTGAAATAAATAATTCTCTCTACTATTATTCTGACATTTCACATTCTTAAAATAAAGTGGTGATCCTAACTGACCTAAGACAGGGAAGTTTTACTAGGATTATATGTCAAGAATTGTGAAACACTTTAGCCAAATACATTTAAACTCAGTTTATGTAAACTTCCAAATTCAACTGTACAAACATACATACATACATACATACATACATACATACATACATACATACATACATACATACATACATACATACATACATACATACATACATACACACACATACACTACCGTTCAAAAGTTTGGGGTCACTTAGACATTTCCTTGTTTTCGAAAGAAAAGCAATTTTTTTGTCCATTAAAATAACATAAAATTGATCAGAAATACAGTGTAGACATTGTTAATTTTGTAAATGGCTATTGTAGCTGGAATATCTACATAGGCGTACAGAGGCCCATTATCAGCAACCATCAGTTCTGTGTTCCAATGGCACGTTGTGTTTGCTAATCCAAGTTTATCATTTTAAAAGGCTAATTGATCATTAGAAATCCCTTTTACAATTATGTTAGCACAGCTGAAAACTGTTGTGCTGATTTAAAGAAGCAATAAAACTGGCCTTCTTGAGACTAGTTGAGTATCTGGAGCATCAGCAATTGTGGGTTCGATTACAGGCTCAAAATGGCCAGAAACAAATAACTTTATTCTGAAACTCTGTCTATTCTTGTTCTGAGAAATGAAGGCTATTCCATGTGAGAAATTGCCAAGAAACTGAAGATCTCGTACAACGCTGTGTACTACTCCCTTCACAGAACAGCACAAACTGGCTCTAACCAGAATAGAAAGAGGAGTGGGAAGCCCCATATACGTTTTACGGACACAGTATGTTTTACATTAGTTATCTTGTTGTTATTCATTGTTATTAGTCCCAACCTTCAGCTCCATTCAACCCCTCCCATCTATCTCTTAAGACCATCCATATTGGATTTCTGTGATGTTTAACAAAAGTTCTGAACCTCTCTTTTCTCATTGTTTCTACACATTGTAAATTGAAAATAAAATGTTTTGCTAAAAGTATTATTATATTATTGATCGATTGGCTATGACGTTTCAGATCACCCAGTAGTGCTATCTGCAGGGTTAGCTGCAGGTAAATATTGCAATTCTTCAGCCATTCCTGGACCTGTGACCAAAAACAAGCTACATAATCTGTAGAGCTGGGAAGGTTGTATCCCCCATATAAATACAATTCTATTGGTTGCAAGAATTTTGTATAATAATTTAAATTGAACAATTTTATGTATTGAATCCAGTGTCGTTTTGCGTATCAGTTCATAAACCACGTGCCATGGAATCTGTACGTCAAAAATCTCTTCCCAACTATTTTGTAATCTATATGGCACGGCTGTCAATTTTTGGGTCCTTAAATTAAACTGGGGTACTTTTTTATTTATCACAATTTTCCTTAACCAATTATGGTCTTTAATGCAGGGCCGACCTTCCACTTACCTCTTCCATTTTTTGCGGTAATGCTGCAATTAGTTGGTTGTAATTTTGGGTAGAGCAGACATTTCCATATGTTTTTGTTAGCTGTATGTGCGATATAACGCCACCAGTCCTACCTATGATATAATTTACGAAGATTATACCTTTTGTAAACATTTTGTCAAAAAAAATAAGTTTTTTTTATCAATTAGTATATTTGAGTTTAACCACAATATTTGTTGCATTATTTGTTCTGTCGTTTCTGGTGGATGAAATTGAAATTGCAACCAACTTTCCATGGCTTGTTTTAGAAATAGTGATATTTAGGAGATATCTCAACTGAAAGTGAGAGGTTGTAATCTGAATAAAGGGGAAAATACCATTCTTGAACATAGGGTGAGACATTCCTACTAATTTGCTAGAGAACCAGTTCGGATTTAAGTATAACTTTTGTATGACTGAAGCCTTTAGTGAGAGGTCTAATGCTTTAATATTTAATAATCTCTGCCCTCCAAATTCATATTCATTATATAAATAGGCCCGTTTAATTTTGTCTGGCTTGCCGTTCCAAATAAAATGGAATATTTTCTTCTCATATAATTTACAAAACTGTTCGCTAGGTGTAGGCAAGACCATAAGCAAATAGGTAAACTGGGATATTACTAAAGAGTTAATCAGGGTGATTTTCCCACAAATGGTAGCAAGATCTTATCTATTTTTGCTAACTTTCTATTAAAATGTATTGGAGTGAGATCATTTATTTATTTCGGGATATGTATACCAAGTATATCCACATCACCATCAGACCATTTTATTGGTAAACTACACGGTAATGTAAAAGTTGTATTTTTTTGTGATCCAATACGTAATATAGTACACTCATCATAATTTGGTTGTAATCCAGAGAGGTTAGAAAATGTATCTAGATCCTCTATGAGGCTGTGGAGGGATCCAAGTTGTGGATTTAAGAGAAAACGGAGAGGTTTGATTGAAATGAATCCCAGGGCCTGAGCATACACGTTATAGCGGAGGTGATGTTATAGCTTTGGTATGCAGCCCCACATGGTGCTGTCAGGAGCAGATAAGAGGCTTCATTGGCTGAATGTTAACCGTGGAGAGAGATGCTTTCATGGTTAAACAGGGTAACTCAAAGGATAGGGACGGAACGGACACTATTTGAACCACAGACAGATCTGGCTCTATAATGCCTTGCTGGCATCGTCTTTATATTGTGCCCTTGGGCTATAGTAATGGGCGTGATGATTTCCATTGGTTTCACTGAAGAGAAGACAAGACGTGTGTAGAAAACATAGCATACACACTCACACTGTGGTGGAAGTACGAGAGCTCAAGGAAACCACAAGGATTACTTGGACACACACGCACACACACAATAACCCCTACACCACACACACGCACACACACAACAACCCCTACACCACACACACGCACACACACAACAACCCCTACACCACACACACGCACACACACAACAACCCCTACACCACACACACGCACACACAGCAGTTTTCCCCCTATATTCATTTAATTGTTGCCTCCACTCCAAAATATATGATTTCGGGATGGTGAAGGTTTTCTAAAACCAGATATAAAATATGTTGAAAATATAATGGAGCAATATATTGTTAAATAAGATCATCTTTGAGCGCTAACGATCGGCAAAATAAAAACTAGACAGTCAGGGAGAATCTACAAATGTCATGGCATGGGGCCCCTATTGATTCTGTTATAATGTTTGAGTCACTCAGATAGCATAAGAACACGGCATAAGCCATTGGCAAATTGTGCAGAATTGCAGGAAATCAGCTTAAAAACTGTAAAATGTTCTCTCCACCCATGTGTAGAACAGGAAATTGGCTATAAAACGGCAAGAGGACGGCCTCTAATATTTTGCCATTGGCCACCGCACACACACACACACACTGTACACCAGGCATCACTCCCATCCCATGCTTGCCTATCCTCACACACAACCAAAGAGATCTGCCAATCAGCGGGGTGTAGATAGTTCTCTTTTGCTGTGCCCGCAGTCTTGGAGGTAGCAGCTATAGATGCATCCCAAATGCACCCTATTCCCTATATAGTGCAATACTTTTGACCAGGTCCCATAGGGTTCCCATAGGGATCTGGTCAGCAGTAGTGCACTGCATAGGGAATAAGGTGCCCTAGGGCTCTGTTCAAAAGTATTGCACTATTTAGGGAACATGGTCCCATTTGGGACACATTCTATGTCTCTCTCGCTGTCTGTAGTTAGATAGGAGCTGAGCTGCAGCCCTGACCAAGGTTACTGACGCCCTGCAGAAATCAGCCTGTGTTTTCTGCTGCCAGTAACAGCTCTCTAATTAAAAGAACATGCTCCACACTGGGTAATCCGGAGCAGATGAAGCATCAAAGGGCCCCTCCATCACATACTGTATACTAGAAATATCAGTGGTTAGCATACGTGCATTTCAAATGAATAAAATGATTACATGATATCGGGAGACATGCTCCATTATTTATATGATAGGTTTAAACGTTGAGCCAGTACCATATGGTGTTTGTGTTCATTTCGAGTGAAAAGTCTTCCTCAGTTGCCCTGAGGATATGTAATGCTTCTAAGATTCTATTTGATCCAGATGCCCGATGTCTCTCTGCTGGAGGATGGGTTTCATTTGTGATGAGGGCTATTATTTTTCCTTTGGTCCTCTCATCTCTTCTCTCTCTGTGTGTGTGCTGAGCTATAAAAAGCCCTAGTCCTCAGCAGCTCTGTGGGGCTAGCCCAACTGCACATGACAGCTGACACAACCAGGGGTTTGTGGCCCTGTCTCTCTCTCTCTCTCTAACATGTCCCCCCCTCCTGTCCCTCCCGCTTCTCTGCAGGGGTGCTGTGGAACCTCTCCTCCTGTGACTCCGTCAAGATGACAATCATTCGGGATGCCTTAACTACTCTGACCAACACTGTGATCATACCCCATTCCGGATGGAGCAGCTCGACATTCGACGAGGACCACAAGCTCAAATTCCACTCCTCTCTGGTCCTGAGGAACACCAGTGGCTGTATGAGGTAACGGACATTCTGTGTATGATGCTACCACCCCCTTCTGGATGTTTCAAGCTACTGCAGCCAGGATCATATTTGAACATAGCCTTCCAGCTGTTCTGTAAATAATATTACGAACACGAGTCATGACTAGTGAATGAGTCAAACCTGACCATGGGAACTTACAAATAATGCATTGTAAACAGGTAATCTATGACTGTATTAATTAAAAAAATACACAGTGCTAGAAAGTCTGTGTACTGTGTGTGTACAGATACAGTAATGTCCCACTGGGCACAGACGTCAGTTCAACGTCTAGTTTTGATTTACATTTGGTTGAGTAGTCACCTAACGTGAAATCAACCAAAAATGTCACCCAATCATGGGATTTAGGTTAAATGAAGAAGAAAAATGAAATTACCTTATGTTGATGACTTTTTGCAAATCCAATCAGTTTTCCACATTGATTCAACATCATCACACTGAATGTTTTGGTTGAAATGATGTGGAAACAATGTTGATTCAACCAGTTTTTGCCCAGTGGGGTGGCCCTTGAAACCCACCAATCTACCCCAGCCATAATACACAGAGTAAGTGGATGCATATGTTATGTGATTGTTACACAGTCAGTCATTGTAGAGGAAATAAAACAGCCATAGTAAAGGGTATTCTGGCTCTCCAGCCACCCTTCCTTTGAAGGCAGTGCCTACGTCCCAAATGGCACCCTATCCCCATATATGGGCCCTAGTCAAAAGTCCTGCACGAAATAGGGAACAGGTTGCCATTTCGGACGCATGCCAGTCAGTTTGGTCTCTAATTGGTGACAGCAAATGGAGCTGTGTCTCTGAGCGCGCTCAGTTAGGCTCTCATTTCCCACTCCAAAGCACTCATAATTGCATCACTCAGGCCAACCAGAGAGCCTCATCCATTATGGATGGGACTGAGCAATTAAAACCCTGCAACACACACCAGCGTCGCGCTAAGGTAACACACACAAACAGATTGGCTGTGTCCCAAATGCTACCCTATTCCCTTTATAGTGCACTACCTTAAACCGAGCCTTATGGGCCCTGGTTGAAAGTAGTACACTAAATAGGGAATAGGGTGACATTTGGGACGAAGCCTTTCTTTTTTAAAGTGGCTGTTTGTGTATGTTGCTGGGCCGTCTTTGTGTGTGAATTCATTGTGTGTGTGTGATTGTGTGTGTTTGTGTGTGTGTGTGTGTGTGTGTGTGCTGTAGGGGCCTATATCCTGACTGGTGTTTGTGTTGTTCTAAAGGAACCTGAGCTCGGCAGGTGAGGAGGCTAGAAAACAGATGCGCTCCTGTGAGGGACTGGTGGACTCTTTACTCTACGTCATCAAGGCCTGTGTCAACACCTCTGACTTCGACAGCAAGGTCTGTGCACACACAGACACACTTACAGACACACACCTACATATATGCACACACACGTGCACACACACAGTGCCTACTAGAAAATATGTTGTCACACGATGGCAGGCAGCTGTAGGGGAGAAGGAGAAATCCTACCCTACCAGTTTTGATTGAATTGATCATTTCTCAATCACATTTACTTGCACAGCTCAGTAACTTGACTGGGAAGGCATTCTATCAGCCCATAGGTCTACAATGTTAATCGTGTGCAATTAAAAGTTCATAGACTTTATCACTGGTCCCTTAGCCAGCTGTTCCAGTTGATTATCTCCCCTATTTGGCCTCTCTGTTGGTGCATCCCAAAATGGCACCCTATTCCCTACAAAATGGCACCCTGTTCCCTATATAGTGCACTACTTTTGACTTGTGCGCTTATGGGCCCTGGTCAAAAGAAGTGCACTATAAAGGGAATATGGTGCTATTTGGGACACATCCTGTGCATTTATTGCTATGCTCATATCTCAGTATATTGGCATCAAACAGTAAGGAATTAAACCCATTTGTCAATACCCAAATCTCTGTTTCTAAGTGGAGACACTTTATTCTGTTATAACACCATGGGTCCCATACCTAATTAATTTATACTGCTACAGCAAGCCTGCATGTCTCCACACCCACACACAGAGGCTGCCTAGCTTATTGAGCACTATTTCACTGGAACAAACCTCTTATGATGCATAGTGTACTTATTGAGATCTCTCTCTCTCTCTCTCTCTCTCTCTCTCTCTCTCTCTCTCTCTCAAATCAAGTCTTTATTGGCAAGGAAATTGTTAACACACACACATTGCCAAACCAATAGAAACATATTAAATCAATGAAGATGTAAATAAATCAAATCAATTACCCCTCCATCTCTCGCTCTCTAGATTGTGGAGAACTGTATTTGCACTCTAAGGAACCTGTCGTATCGCCTGGAGCTGGAGATGCCGCCGTCGAGGCTGCTGGGATCCCAGGAGCTGGATGGTCTGCTGGGAAGTGAGTCTCCCAGTAAGGACGTGGACTCCAGCTGCTGGGGCAGGAAGAAGAAGAAGAAGAAAAAGGGCTCCCAGGAAGACCAGGTGAGCTCAAATGGCACCCCTATTCCCTATGTAGTGCACCTTCTTGTAGTGCACCCTATGGGTCCTGGTCAAAAGTAGTGCACTATATAGGGAATAGGTGCCATTTTGGGATGAAACTTCAGTCTGAGGGTGGAAATATCACTTCCTAGGTGTTCAAAGTGAATGTTCACTCCAGCTGAGTTCAGGGATAACAACTCATCACTGAGTGGTGGAATTAGAACACATGACACTTCCCTATGCCTTAAGTGAATGTTCACTCCAAATGTTTGTCAAACGTTTTTCTTAAAGATCTCAACAGTAGTCTAGTAGCGAGAGTCCATGTCCCATGACTTCTGTTTTGTCTAACATTACAAAATTAGATGACGGTGCCTGCCTGTCTTTTCAAATCATTTGGGATCAAGGCGTCGTATAGCTGGATCTACGCAACAGATGGCATGATAGAACTTGGACTAATTTCTCCCTTCTGAGAAATGGAAAACATTTGACAACTTAGATTTTGGAGTGAACTATTACTTTAACTCTTCTAGGAGCACTCTAGAGAAGACCATGGCCCGTATCCACAAAGCGTCTCAGAGTAGGAGTGCTGATCTACAGTGAATCTCATTCATCATATATAGTCAAAGTTTTATTATGAACTGGGTGGTTTGAGCCCTGAATGCTGATTGACTGAAAGCCGTGGTATATACAGTGTACCACGCGTATGACAAAACATTTATTTTTACTGTTCTAATTATGTTGGTAACCAGTTTATAATAGAAAAAGGTACCTTGGAGGTTTGTGGTAAATGGCCAATATACCACGGCTAATGCCTGAATCCAGGCACTCCACGTTGTGTCGTGCATAAGAACAGCCCTTTGCCAGGGTATATTGGCCATATACCACAACTCCTCGGGCCTTATTGCTTAATTAGAACCTCTAATCATGATCATGTGCTTGTAATGTGTTCTCAGTGGGACGGAGTTGGCCCCATCCCCGGCTTCTCCAAGTCCCCCAAGGGGGCGGAGATGTTGTGGCACCCAGCCGTGGTGAAGCCCTATCTGACCCTGCTGGCTGAGAGCTCCAACCCTGCCACTCTGGAGGGCTCGGCAGGCTCCCTACAGAACCTGTCTGCTGGGAACTGGAAGGTATGGAGTACACTACGGAGTACACACTACACAGCACCCAGGACAGGAGATGACAAGAACACTAGTCTATTGTGTGTTATTTTATTAATTAATAGTCTATTAGCTATGCGAAGTTAATCATATTTAAAGGGGAACTCTCCTCCATAAGCATGTCAGTGAAACTAATGTCAATAGTCACTTATAGTGCATTCTCCTAAACCCCCTAGTTGCTATTGGTAGCTTCTGGGACAAGGAAGGACGCTAGATCTAACTAGACATCCAAAGCTAAAAGTCGTGTGTCAGTGGCTCTTGGTTATTTCAGCTCTAGGACATTTATCACAGGGGCTATGACATCATTGTTGTCTGTTGTCTGGTTTTCTGAAGCAGAAAAAACATTTCTGTACTACGATGGCTGAACCTGTAAAAAAACGTTCACTGCACCTGTCCGGTGTATGTGACAATAAAACATACATATTTTGTTGTTATTTTCTCTTGTCTCTATTTTTTCTTGTACACTCTTAAGTTGAGTTGCATTCAATAGAGTTGAAACGTCGTCTCTGTGTCGTCTCTGCGTTTGTACTAGTTTACGGCGTACATCCGTGCGGCGGTGCGTAAGGAAAAGGGTCTGCCCATCCTGGTGGAGCTGCTGAGGATGGACAATGACAGGGTGGTCTGCTCTGTGGCCACCGCCCTGAGGAACATGGCCCTGGACGTCAGGAACAAGGAGCTCATAGGTGAGGACCAAACACTGGCTCTGTGAAGGGATGACCCACGCCGCGTTCCAGGCTGACTACATTGCAGACGCCTGACAGATCTCCCAACACCTGGATAGGTGTTTAACATATCAGATCACCGCATCATATGATATAACAGTTTGATGCCGACTGCGCAGTCGATGGCGTGGCACGCAACCATTGGTTGATACAATGCATCTGCAATGTAGTCGGTTATGGAACGCAACCCACCAGTACAGTAGGCTATGTAAATGTGCTATACAAGCACAGAGCAAAAAAATGGAAGACCAACACTATACACTCAGTGTACAAAACATTAGGAACACTTTTATTATATTGTGTTGCACCCCGTTTTGCCCTCAGAACAGCCTCAATTCGTCGGGGCATGGACTCTACAAGGTGTCAAAAGTGTTCCACAGGGATGCTGGCCCATGTTGACTCCAATGCTTCCCACGGTTGTGTCAAGTTGGCTGGATGTCCTTTGGGTGGTGGATTCTTGATACACACAGGAAACTGTCAAGCATGAAAAACCCAGCAGCATTGCAGTTCTTGACACACTCACACCGGTGCGCCTGGCACCTACTACCATACCCCATTCAAAGCACTTAAATATTTTGTCTTGCCCATTCATCATCTGAATGGCATACAATCCATGTCTCAATTGTCTCAAGGCTTAAAAATCCTTCTTTAACCTGTCTCGCCCCCTTCATCTACACTGATTGAAGTGGATTTAACAAGTGACATCATAAGGGATCATAGCATTCACCTGGATTCACCTGGTCAGTCTATGTCAGGGATGGGCAACTTTGAGTGGCCGCAGTGGCTCATGGGTCTGCGTATCAACATCCATACCCCCCCACCTTGCGAAAGTTCATTTCCTGCAATTCTGCACATTTTGCCATGGGGCGTTGATGAAGATTTTGCAAATTTTATAACTCATTTCATGCAATTCTACTCATTTTGCCATGGGGTGGAGAGAAAAATGTGTAGTTTGGAGGCAAATGTTTGCAGTTTTTAATATGATAACTGGTGATTAATGGGCCCACCCCGGTCGGTAATTCCACCATGCTTATTACAAGTTTAGATAGCTGGTCGCTAGACTAACTTACCAATCTAAAATAATTAGCTGACATGGGCTAATTGAGTGACTGCTGATGCACAACCACATTTTGAAATTGCACCTTGTGTATTCTATTATTCTAACTCTCAACAGTAAGTTGAGACCCCGAATGAATTGGGTGAAATTGGTCGGCAGGCCTACAAAAGGGGGGCCGCATGTGGCCAGTGGGCCGCCAGTTGCCCATCCCTGGTATATGTCATGGAAAGAGCGTGTAAAAGGGACGAGATGAGATGGAAAATAAGAGGTTTAAAATGAAGCAGAACCAGAAGAGCGACGTTCATGCTTAGTAATCTAACTGCTGATTATATGCCCAGATTGCTACCTTTCAGTTGCATCCCAATCCATCTTGTTTTTCGTGAAATCACCCCTTTTTTTATGGGCTAGCTATGTGGAAATAATGAGGAGTTAGAGTTAGGGTTCCAGCAAGGCTGAGGCAGAGGGGGGAGAGGGGGGAGATAATGGGGGGAGAGGGGCTGTGTGGAGAGGTACTCTGGAGGGGCTGATCTTCTGAGGGAGACAGGGGGAAAGGGGGAAAATCAAGGGGTTTTAATCCAGGATCTGTAGGTCCCTTGGGGGCACTAATGCTATGTCCTATAGGAAAGGCACATGGTAGGCTGTGGCAGTACAACCCAAGCTGAACAAATATAGCATCTGCAAAGTAAAAAGTACACTGTGTACTCTAGGTCTCCTGCCGTACAAATACATTACGTAAGACACAGTATATAAAAAATGCAATGAATGTCTCTTTATTTCCATTTTGTCTCTCTCTCCCTGTTGCTTTCAAGTTTTATTTAAAGGTGTAGCCAGTTCATTTATTTGCAGTTAAAAAGTCAAAAAAATGTATGCACTCACTAACTGTAAGTCGCTCTGGATAAGAGCGTCTGCTAAATGACTAAAATGTAAAATGTAGAGGTCAGGATGAGGAAGCCAAAATGGGTTTATGAAGAAGCCTCGCCCTAATCTAGCTCGTAAATTCGTAACAGAAATTCTAAGTACATAATTAATACTTCCCTCCCTCCCTCCTTTTCTCCTTCCTTCCCTCCCTCCCTTCTTTCCCTGTTCTCTACCTCCTTCCCTCTCTCCTTCACTCCTTTCCTCCTTCCCTGACTCCCTCCCTCCACCCTCCACCCTCCACCCTCCTCCCATCCCTCCCTCCCTCCCTCCCAGGGAAGTATGCGATGAGGGACCTGGTGAATCGTCTCCCTGGGGGGAACACCACCCTGCTCTCTGACGAGACGGTAGCGGCCATCTGCTGCACTCTGCACGAGGTCACCAACAAGAACATGGAGAACGCCAAGGCACTGGCCGACACGGGCGGCATCGAGAAGCTGGTCAACATCACCAAGGGCAGGGGAGAGAGGTGAGAGAGAGGCTTCAGCTGCTGCTCAGACAGAGTTTGCGTCGCAAATGGCACCCTATTCCCTTTATAGTGCACTACATTTCAGTGTACTACTACTACTTTAGTAGTTTACTATATAGGGGATAGGGGTGCCATTTGGGATACACACAGAGAGCATGAGGAAGGACAACTTGTGCTTCCACACAGAAGCTTGCTCTAGGCTCATGTGCTGAGGTTACACATTCCGGAATGGAATGAGAGCAATTTCAAACAGTTGAGAGTAGACTCATTTTTTAACCGCAGAAACATGCAATATGCCAGGTATTTGCCATATATTCCTAAGAGGCCTCAGTTATAACTTCTCAGTGGTAATGTGTGGTGACATGCGTGTCTCTGTCCTCAAAGGTACTCTATGAAGGTGGTGAAAGCTGCTGCTCAGGTCCTTAACACACTGTGGCAGTACAGAGACCTGAGAACTATCTATAAGAAGGTAAGAAAATGACCAGTGTTGGGATGAGGAGGCTAAGTACAGTAGGGCTACTTCCCAATTATCTCTCCATCCTGCCAAAGTGTGCACTTGTTCACTTCCCTTCATTGAAAGGAAAATGGCTGGTATATGAAATACGGCGGAAACTCCTACTAGCCCGTGCCGCCACCAATCCAATGCTTTTAGATTTAGAAGAAGTGAACGAGTGTACACTTCAGGAGAAAGGAGATATTATTGGGACTCACCCCAGGTCTTTGTGGTTCAAACTAACCACTGTCTCCTTTCTCTGCTGGCTTTTAGGACGGATGGAACCAAAACCACTTCATCACGCCAGTATCCACTCTAGAGCGCGACAGGTTCAAGTCTCAGCCCACCCTCCCCACCAGCACCATACAGATGTCACCGGTCAACCAGTCAGGTAAGCCTAGCTACATAAACAATAATTCACCTAGGTTACGTCCCAAATGGCACCCTATTCCCCAGTTTTTCTTAATCCTGGGTGAACATTTTTGTTTTTGCCCTAGCACTACACTACACACCTGATTCCACTCATCAAAGGTTTGATGATGAGTTGATTAGTGGAATAAAGTGTGTACTGCTAGGTTAAAAACAAAAATCCCCAGGACCAACATTAAGAAACACTGCCTTAGTGCACTACTTTTGACCAGGGCCCACAGGGTTCTGGTCAAAATTAATGCGCTAGATAGGAAATATGGAGCCATTTGGGACGTTACCCTAGATAAGACGGTTTAATTGAAAGTTTCATCATTTTGACCTCCATATTCTGTTGTCCATAGCTGGTAGTGCAACCTCTTCTCCTGCAATGCTGGGAATCAAAGAACACCGTTCTGATTATCAGAGGGCACCATCAACTATGCAATTTTGTAATAACCAAGGGGACAACAATGTACATAAATATCAATATACAGGTAAGCGATGTGCATACAGAATTCTCATGATCTCAGAATTATTACTGTACATAAAACACAGTATATCATGTGAGACTTTGAAATGGGATTGAAAATGTATCAGCCATGTACACCAGACCGTGATCAAAGTATCCCCTAGGGTCATTTCTACCTCTATGGAAGCCGTAATCCATTTGATCCCCCTCACCACTCCCAGGAATCACATTCCATGCCCCCTCTCCCCTAGCTCTCCCCTAGCTCTCCCCTAGCCCCCCCTAGCTCTCCCCTAGCCCCCCTAGCTCTCCCCTAGCTCCCCCTAGCTCTCCCCTAGCTCCCCCTAGCTCTCCCCTAGCTCTCCCCTAGCTCTCCCCTAGCTCCCCCTAGCTCTCCCCTAGCTCCCCCTAGCTCTCCCCTAGCTCTCCCCTAGCCCCCCTAGCTCTCCCCTAGCTCTCCCCTAGCTCTCCCCTAGCTCTCCCCTAGCTCTCCCCTAGCCCCCCCTAGCTCCCCCCTAGCTCCCCCCTAGCTCCCCCTAGCTCTCCCCTAGCTCTCCCCTAGCTCCACCACCACCACCACCATACCTCGCTCTTTCTTATCACTCTTATTGGGAGCTGAAGTCTCTTGGACGATCGGCTAAGTTCAAAAGAGCACTTGAGCCTTTTTGTTGCGTTTAAGTGGGTCTGCTGATCAATAAAGTTGCTGGTCCACCCACACTGTGAGCCACTTGGCTGGGAAGCCACTACAAAGCGGCCATTGTTAGTTGCCCTGAGGAACAGTAGGGCTATTTCCCAAATGGCACCCTATTCCCTATATAGTGCACTACTTTTGACCAGAGCCCTGGTCAAAAGTAATGCACTACATAGAGAATAGGGTGCCATTTGGGACATTGACTATGCAGGGCACCCAGATGGACAGCCCACAATGGGGCGCTGAGAGGGCTGAGTAAACAGAGCTCCTCCACATTCACCCCGCCTACCCGCCAGTCTACCCAGCAACACTCCCTGGGTCAGCCATAAAAACCCAGAATGCTGGGAACAAGAGTGGGAAATGGGTTTCAGGATTCCTCTGGCTTGAAAATGGGCCAAGGAAAATACCATCCCACAGGCTTTGCAAACAATAAGACGCTGGTGCCCAACTCTATGACTGTGTGTTATTAGTCTGTTCAATGCAGCGTAGCTGTATTTGATCATATACAGAGATCATGCCTAAGGGGATGTGTGAGATGTGATATTTGACACACTGTACACTAACAACTCAAGTTTGTGGCGAAGTTGAAGTTATACCGTTATGTTGTGCATTTCTCTTCCAGGGTCTGGAAAGCCGCCGCCATATTATATCGGGTCCTACTCCTCGCCGACAAGAGAGGACCCCAGAAGAGCACAGGTAAATACAATACAGACTCAGTCCCTTCTGGACGGACATCCATCTCCATCTTTCCCTGCACTATAAACTTGGCTGGTGCAGACAGGTCTTTTGCTCCACTACACTAATGCAAGGAGACTGATACATATTCCAGTGTGGATGAATGCGAGAGCTAGGAGACATCCATCATATCAGCCATTGTGTGAGCTGGAGTGAATGTGACTGCTGTAATAGGGATGAGCTGGGCGTCTCAGGCACCTAGATAGGACCCAGGGAGAGGGATCTCTGTTCCTTCCCCTCCCTGCACCCGTTCTCAGACTGGACAGTCAGGATATTACACCCAACCCTGTATAGCCATGCAGCTTGAGTTTCGATACATGTAGGGGCGGTTTCCCGGACACAGATTAAGCCTAGTCCGCGACTAAAAAGCATTTTTAATTGAGATTCTCTATTGATCTTGCTTTTTAGGACTAGGTTTAATCTGTGTCTGGGAAACCGCCCAAAGAGTGTGAATTAGTTGTTACTAGAATTTCAACCAAAAATTACCCATAAACCAAACAAACACTGGAGTTTAAAGTAGATATGTTCCTGTATTTCACATAGACAGACCTGATTTAGTGTTGCACCTCTTGTCTCCACAGCAGCAGGTGTACTACACTGAGGAGCCGAGCAGGCGGAACTACGACACCTACAGAATGTACCTGCAGTCTCCACACGGCTACGAGGAACCCTACATGGAGGAAGTAGTCACCTTCCCCCCCACGGCAGACTACAGCTCTCAGTCGAACGGCCATGGACTAAAATCCACCACGAACTACGTGGACTTTTACTCCACCACGCGGAGGCCTTCCTACAGGGCGGAGCAGTACCCAGGCTCACCAGACTCCTGGGTATAGGGACTCCATCTTTGAACCCAACTGATGAACTCGTCCATGAACTTTTATCTGTGTGTTTGTTTTTAAAAAGTTAATCTGAATGTGGGGGTGGAAGCGATGACAGATGGAGAAACAGAACGTTAACCAAAGAAAGAAGGAAATCAAGGAATGTGGTTGTTGTTTTAAAAGAAGAAAGAGAATCATGCAGTGGTTTGTTTGGGGATGGCGGCATTGGACATCATTTTGAGCGGCGTCCTGCTCTGTCTAGATGTTAGTTTTTCTTTTGGAAACCCGTAGCTGTGGTAGCATGGTGAAGGTGTGGGTTATGTGACGGAAGGTTTGCGGTAAAGAGTCAGATGGGGTATGTGTATGTGTATGTTAGTAGGCTAAAATGGATCATGAACTCATATCTGAAAAAAAATAAGAAAAAATAAGTAATCTAAAGATGTTAGTTTGTACAGAGGGATCAACTTGTATTTGTTCTTAATGTTGAGACTGTATGCCATGGAGTGTTGTACATTTCCATCATTTAATTGTAAATACAGAAAAATGCCACCTGGTTTACGCTCATCAGCACTGGTAAAGACTTGTGCCATGTCAAATCTATATTATAGATCTATAAATACAGTATATGAAGAAATAAGGAGAGAAGGGAAAAGATAACATCATAACATAAACTTGCAAAGTTAATAAAAGTTTACTTTTATTTTATAAATAAATTGCAGACAATTTTGTGACTTTGCAGATATTCTCTTTATTTTTCCATTTTCTGTCCTGGACCTTTCATGGGATGGTTCACTGCCATTTTCTATGCACACCAACCAACAGAAATAAATGTGAACGTTTGGTCCATGAAGAGCTCTACAACTCCTCCCTTCTGTTGCTCATCCTCTCATCTTTGCATGCATAACATAGAAAAAGAAGGCAACGGATACATCCCAAGTGGCACTCTATGCCCCACATAGTGCACTTCTTTTGAACAGGGCCCCCAAATGGCACCCTATTCCCTATATAGTGCAATACTTTTGACCAGAGACCTATGGGCCCTGGTCAAACGTAGTGCACTATATAGGGAGTAGGGTGCCATTTGGGACATGACCAACATGATAAAGACAGATCAGACACTCAGCATTTTCTTTGTCTTATTTCATGACCAGACAATAGACCTTTTCAGATAAACCCTTTGAAAGTTGTTAGAAGTGACAAAAAAGACTGACAATGCAGGCATTGCTTTTTGCCAGGATATCAAGTAAATTGTTTTATTCAAAAAATATTTAAAACAATTGATTACATAAAAAGCAAGCATGTTTCACTAAGATAAATGTGAGATGAGTTCTGTTCATAAACAATCTCTTGCCCCTCCCTGTACTCTAGGTCCTTCATAATGTACAGATCTTTAAAAAGTCAGATTGCAATGTATATGCTCCACATAACCAGATAGTGAGTTACCATATTGCTTACGTCTATCCTGCTTTAGTCAGATCTGCAAACACAGAGGGGCGTGGCTGGAGGTTGTTTTTGAACTAGGCAATGGTGTTGTATGAACGGCAGGATTGGTAGGTAGGAAATAGGTTTAGAACATGAACATCCTCAATGCACACCACAAACACAAATGCGCCAATCGATATACTAAATAAAACAATGTAACTTTTTGAGGCTGCTTACGCCATATGTCTGGTTCACTCATGTGGAATAAATTAGTCTGCTGTAGCCCCATATGCTGATGCTTGCGTCCTGCATCAGCTACGTCATTTTCCTTTCAGCAGTATAAAAGCAACGGAGTTGGTATTGTCCTAGTTTGTGATCTGTTATTGTTGTTCAGAAGTCGAGAATGGTGCAGCTATCTAAATCTGGAATGAGAGAGAGTCTTGAATTGAAGGCTGGCCATCCTCCAGCAGGTATAATGTTGATTAATTCATACTAATTCGCAATTGTCACTGAACTGTGCATATTTTCTTTGTAAAAAATTGTTCTTTGCTTTTTTAAGAAAATAAGTGTGGTTTACATTCAGTGTATTTACCATATAGGCCTACTCTTCTCGTTGAATTTATTTGTCTTCGTCCCGTGCAAACATTGTTACGGTTCTGCTACAAACCTTAAGTGCGTAGGTGGTAAACTAATAAAACATTTAAACGTATAACGATTGCATGCAGTAGTTGGCCTAAATGCTCTCATTGCTACTTTTAATTGTATTTATCGTTACAATGCGTTATGAAACATGAATCAGTGTATAGCATAGCCTATTGTTCAACTGTGGTACATTCTGTGCTCGAGGGACAGGATGGCCAGCTCTGAAGTTCAGTTCATACAGTTAAGTGAATATTTCCCATGCAGGTTCTTGCTTCTACATATGGTTTTGTTGCTTCTACATATGGTTTTGAGTCATAATCATAGTCACAATCAAACTGTTTATTAAAATGCTAATTAACGGCATTTGTGCGATGCCCCCCTTTCTTAATCTATGCAGAATGCCTATTGACAGTGTTGGGGAAGCTACAAGCTACCAGTTACTTCACACTGGAAGAAGTTAAATTACACTAAAGCTACCCTTAAAGCTGCACTTTGCAGAAATCACTCCGCCATTTCCTGGTTGCAAAAATTCTAATAGTTCGCCTAATTTAAGTTTGTGACAAAACAAGCAAGTATAGTATAGAGAATCATTGTACCATCTCAACAGCTGTGAAATATATTTTCCACAAAGTAAAAGATGCAAAAACAAAACTTTAAAACGGAAAGCATAGAAATAGCGCACATACAACATCTCCTGCTTCTTAGACCAGGTGTCAATGAGAATGACAGATCTATAACTCACAGTTCTATGTTAACTTTTTGGGCGACCCAACACAATTATGTTGTATGTAGCTTAAAGAAAAAGTAGTTCACTACATCCAAACTACAACAAAAATTGTCAGACTTCAAATTGCAAGAACAGATCACTCTAGAGTCAGATGTTAACAGAATGTGTAATTTAGCCTATTAAACACAAAGTGAAAATTAGGCAGGTCTGATGCTGAAAAAGAAGGGAAATTCTTGCCTACTAAACCCATATTTTATTTTTGCTAAAGAAAGTGTAGTTCCAGTAGTTGGCTACACCACTACATGGCAAAAAAGTAATTAACTACTAAAAACACTACCTATGCTGAACATTACTCCACAATACTAACCTAATTGACAGAGTGAAAATAAGGATGTCTGTACAGAATAAAAGTATGCATACTGTTTCCAATAAGGCAATAAAGTAAAACTGCAACAAATATGGCAAAGAAATTAACTTTGTCATGAATACAAAGTGTTATGTTTGAATCAATTTAATCCATTTTGAATTCCGTCTAACACAATGTGGAATAAGTCAAGTGGTATGAATACTTTCTGAAGGCACTGTAGTTCACTGCCTGTTGAATACACTTATGGTGTGACATGATGTCCCAGAAAAGAAGTTCTGGGGCCATACATATCAAGTGTATCAGCGTAGGAGTGCTTTAGCATCAGCTTTGCCCTACTCTGAGATGCGCTTACATACAGCCCCTGAAAGGGACTCTTGCAGTAAAAATTCTACTTTCTCTGATCAGAGCTGCACATTGTTTGGCTATATGCTTGAAAATCAAAGTGCTTGTTGCTTTGACAGGATGTGTGTAAAGTAGATTGATTAAAGCTGCATATAGCAAGCAACTGAGAAATTAAAAAGCAGCCACTGATGAACCGTATTCACTGCCAGTGCCATCTCTTGATCAGTCTACCAACTTTCTTCTTCCAACACTGATACTCTCATAATCTACTTATATATTGGCAAAGTAAACCAACTGGTATTAAAACATTCACAGATTAGTCTTACAGTAACTCTGAATAGTTTGAACTCCGTTCTGATCAAGTGCAGAGGATCTTGTATAACTTTCCAAATAGCATTTAATGCTGGATTGGCAAAGAATGAGAATGTTAACTAGTTATTTTAAACGGTTCCACTCTGGCTCCACAGTGAAGGCTGGGGGGAAACGAGTGGCCAAGAAGAGCTATGAGGAGAGTCATGCCACCCACCATGTGAACCCAGAGAGGGAACAGAAGGTTCCCAAACCCAGGTACAGTACAGTTCAGGTAGTCCCTCCCTGTTTGTCTGTTTTCTTCCATTAGGTCCTTAATGAATACGACCCAATAATCGTCTCGCTGATTGATGGAGCTTGGATGATTTTATTTTTTTACATTGAGAGAACATCAAGAAAACACTTAACTGTAATGTTGAGTTTGTCGTTAAACATGTAATACTGTTCTAGATCTGCAGCCACCTCCAGCCGAATGCAGCTAGTCAGTGTCTTGATGTCAGGAACACTTGACAAGGTAAGGATATCTGACTTAAAAGAATGGCTGCTTCAGTGTCCCACAAGGGTTTGCCAAGAAACCGGTTTAGCTGTAAACTACAAAATCACTTGGCTTCATTTGTAATGATTATGCAAGTAAACACTTTACTAATAGCCTACCTACTACAGATTGGCATAGTCAAATAGTTTATTCCAGATTGCTTGGTAAGCCATGATTTTATAAAATATGATTTCTTAATTGTTTCAGTTGGGACATGACTTCCCAGAGACCCCAGTAAGTGTGAAACACAGCAGACTCAGACCTGCTTTGGAGAAGGCACACTCGCCAGCTTTCAAGTCTAGCTTCTGCATCCAGCAACCGAAAAAGTTCTGAAGCAAAATGTGTTGAAGTTGCCTGAGAGAAACATGTGAAGTCAACTGTGTAAGACCAGCAGGAAGTGTTAGTTGCATGCATGAGAGGACCAACATGAGATGTCAGAAAAGACTTGAATGTTTAACGTTATTAATTAATGTAGAATCAATTCAGCTACTTTGAATTGGTTGCAATTTGTGACTGCTTCTTTTAGGTGAACTTTGTGGGGATATGGGTGGATTTCTGCTTACTATGAACCAGCATTTACTGTGCCTTTTTATTAATGTGTATGCGACCCTGTAACCATAAGTGAACTAAAAGCGCACATGGTGGGGATTTTGAAATTAGTTTGTTGCATAAGAGGGTATAAGCTGGATGACTTGACTGTTTCGTCAGTGTCTGTTTTCATAGTGATAAGCTTAGCGTTTGTTGATGGCTTGAATAAAAAAATTGCATAGCATTAGAAAATGTCCTTTTTGTTTTATGTTTAACAAGGTTCACATGTATAATTATAGTTCATTGTAGTGTCTTTCATTGAATAGTTCAGTTGAAAAAAAAAAAAGTCATGCTGAAATGTTTGTCATGACCACAGGGTGGTGACAAGTACATGGTCAGCTTGAAGGAGATGGAGTTTTCGTTTACACGTCACACTTGTATGTTGCGTTCAAGACAACTTTGAACTCTGAAATCTTCAACTTTAGTGTGTTCAAGACAACTGGGAACTCTGGGGGGGGGTTGGATGCCAAGTCGGAAACTCGGATCATCCTACTTGACGATCAGACGTCATGATTTGACCTTGTTTTTTCCCCCGTGTTCCCAGGGGTCTTGAAAGCAGCATTGACATAGACGTTTAACACTCCTATCAACTCAAACCTCTTTGGGTGCATTTTCCCAAGGGATTTTCTGGCTCGCTGCTCTATCATATTGACAGGAGCCGCTCTTCCACATGAGCATGCACACTGTAGCCTATTTTTGTACACCATCTACATAATCTATATACTTTAATCATGTTACTACAGCATACATTATGTGTTTCCGAGAGTGAAACTTACTCTGGCATGTCTCAGGGAAGCTTTGCCAGCAGTATGGCTGTATCATGGTGTCTCCACAGAAACTGACCCACAGCAGAATGTGTCTTTTTGAACTTGGTGCCTCTTTGGAAGGAAGTTCTCTTATAGGGCTCTCACAAAATATCTGTTGTGAGGCTGAACCCAGCAAAGCACTGAAGAGGACTTCTTCTAGATCCACCATGAAGAGTATCTATGGGCTCTTATTGTCTGATATTAACCTGAGTAGTTCTCTACTTTCAGTTATTGTGTAGTTGGCTATTTTATGATAGGAACAGGCAACAAGTCTATGAAATTGCTTGAATTATATCCTAAGAGTTTGTTTGACATGTCTACACAATTTAGTAATTTTCTTCCTGACAGTCATACTGTACATTGCATAGGCACATTAAGTAAATGGAAGTCGATACATACAGCTGTGTATAGTGGAAACATTTGAGGAATGCAGAGAAGTTATGGCGTGTGAGTGAGGTCTTACTGACCATGTGCAAGATGGAAGAATATGATCTGGAATGTGTGGGAGAGAGACTACTGTAGGAGCCAAAACTGGATCTCAAACCATTTCATTTGGGCTCCTCGCTGCTTATATTTCATATTTTGTTGTCAGTCTTTGTGGCAAAGAAGTCAGTACTAGTGAAGAAGGCTTTTTATGGCCCACAGGGAGATGATAGGCCATACTAGCCTTAGGCATTTTGTAAGATGGCGGAAGGCAGTATATTAACGCTGGAAACAAATATTTTTACAACAGCTGTCAGCCTTAGCCAGCTTCCAATCCAGCAGATGGTGAGGTTGGACAGATTCAGAATATGAGAAGGCACTGGCGTTGTTCCATCCTTCAGCTGTGTTTGAGGCTCTTTGATCCGCTGGGATTTGGGCTGGTTACCTGTGCATGCATAGTGAGGAGACTGGAGGACAGAAATAATCAATGCACACACACACCCTGTCTCAAAGTCCAGGGCATCTGGCTGTATTACAGGAATGAACCAAAGCATGAAGTGATTCATTAATATGACAAAATGGCATGTTTGTATAGACTTAAGTAAATGTAAATCATTGCATTATTAATTATAGCAATTAGACTGTGTAATTATACTTTTTGATATACTCAGAGGACCATTATTAGCATGTTTTAACCACTCCTATGTAAATGGTAGATTATCAGACACTCAAGAAGGTCTGATTTCATTATTACTGAAACAGAATACAAGTGGAAAATATAAAGATCCCTTCCATTAAAAAAATTGGAGGCCCCTTACACTTCAGTGTTGTGATGCAAAAATTCTAGCAAAATGTATAGCACATAGAATTAAAAAGGTATTGTTAGACATTATTCATTCAAATCAGATCATCAATCAAGATACATTGGAGATAATATAAGGCAAGTACTGGAAACAATAGAACACTATGAAAAATCTGGGAAACCAGGCCTGCTATTCATAGCAGACTTCAAAAAGGCATTTGATAAAGTACGACTGGGGTTTATATATAAATGCCTGGAGCATTTCAATTTTGGAGAATCTCTTATTAAATTGGTTAAAATCATGTATACTAACCCTAGGTGTAAAATAGTAAATAATGGCTATTTCTCAGAAAGTTTTAAACTGTCAAGGAGTGAAACAAGGTTGTCCACTATCGGCATATCTATTTATTATGGCCATCGAGATGTTAGCTATTAAAATCAGATCCAACAATAATATCAAGGGATTAGAAATCCAGGGCTTAAAAACAAAGGTGTCATTGTACGCTGATTCATGTTTTCTTTAAAATCCACAACTTGAATCCCTCCACAGCCTCAGAGGATCTAGATACATTTTCTAACCTCTCTGGATTACAACCAAATTATGATAAATATACTATATTACGTATTGGATCACTACAAAATAAAATTTACATTACCATGTAGTTTACCAATAAAATGGCCTGATGGTGATGTGGATATACTCGGGAATACATATCCCAAATGAAATAAATGATCTCACTCCAATACATTTTAATAGAAAGTTAGCAATAATAGATAAGATCTTGCTACCATGGAAAGGTAAATACCTGTCAATTTGTGGAAATATCACCCTGATTAACTCTTTAGTATTATCCCAGTTTACCTATTTGCTTATGGTCTTGCCTACGCCTAGCGAAGTTTTTTTTTAAATTATATGAGAAAAATATTCAATTTGATTTGGAACGGCAAGCCAGACAAAATTAAATGGGCCTATTTATATAATGAATATGAATTCGGAGGACAGAAATTATTAAATATTAAAGCATTAGACCTATCACTAAAAGCTTCAGTCATACAAAAGTTATACTTAAATCCGAACTGGTTCTCTAGAAAATTAGTAAAATTGTCTCACCCAATGTTCAAGAATGGCCCTTTATTCAGATTACAACCTCTCACTTTCAGTTATTTGAAAAGGAAATCATCTCCCAAATATCACTATTTCTAAAACAAGCCATAGAAAGTTGGTTTTAATTTCAATTTAATCCTCCAGAAACGACAGAACAAATAATGCAACAAATATTGTGGTTAAACTCAAATATACTAATTGATAAAAAAACTTTTTTTTTTTTGACAAAATGTTTAAAAAAGGTATAATCTTCGTAAATGATATCATCGGTAGGACTGGTGGAGTTATGTCGCACATGCAGCTAACAAAAACATATGGAAATGTCTGCTCTACCCAAAATTACAACCAAATAATTGCAGCATTACCGCAAAAATGGAAGAGGTAAGTGGAAGGGGGAAAAAGTAAGGAACTTGTCTGTCGACCTTGCATTAAAGAACATAATTGGTTAAAGAAAACTGTGATAAATAAAAAAGTATACCCATTTCATTTAAGGACCAAAGGATTGACAGCCATCCCATATAGATTGCAAAATAGTTGGGAAGATATTTTTGACGTACCGATCCCATGGCATAGTGTTTATGAACTGATACGCAAAACGACGCCGGATTCAAAACTTAGAATTTTTCAATTTAAATTATTATATAAAATTCTTGCTACCAATAGAATGTTATTTATATGGGGGATACAATCTTCCCAGCTCTGCAGATTTTGCTGCGAAGAGACAGAATCATTAGATTTGTTTTGGTACTGTCCATTTATAGCTTGTTTTTGGACACAGGTCCAGGAATGGCTAAAGGATTGCAATATTTACCTGGAGCTAACCCTGCAGATAGCATTACTGGGTGATCTGAAAAGTCATAGTCAATCGATCAATAATAATATTTTAGCAAAAAAATGTATTTTCAATTTACAATCTGTAGAAACAATGAGAATAGAAAGGTTCAGAACTTTTGTAAAACATCACAGTACAGTTGAAAAAATATATGGCAAATAGAAATCCAATATGGATGGTGTTAAGAGATAGATGGGTGGTTTGAATGGAGTTGAAGGATGGGACTAATAACTAACAACAACAAGATAACTAATAATGTAAGCATACTGTGTCTATAATAAGTATATAGGTTATAGGTTGAGAACTTTTGTGAAAGAGCACAGTTAGAAAGATATGGCATATAGAAGCAAACCAGATGGACATCATGAAAATGATCGGAGAGGTTGAGGGTAGAGGAAGTTCAGAAGTAAAAACAAACAAAATAGAATTATTGTAAAATTGACTGTGTCTATAAAATGTATATAGTATGTATAAGCTGGAAGTAGAAGCCTAAGCATTGTTGTTCACTAGTTTACTCCAATTAGGGAAGGGGTGGTGGGGTTGGAAAGTAATAAAGGGAAATGTATTTGTTAAAAGGATATGTATATGTATATATATACAGTGGGGGAAAAAAGTATTTAGTCAGCCACCAATTGTGCAAGTTCTCCCACTAAAAAAGATGAGAGAGGCCTGTAACTTTCATCATAGGTACACGTCAACTATGACAGACAAATTGAGAATTTTTTTTCCAGAAAATCACATTGTAGGATTTTTTATGAATGTATTTGCAAATTATGGTGGAAAATAAGTATTTGGTCAATAACAAAAGTTTCTCAATACTTTGTTATATACCCTTTGTTGGCAATGACACAGGTCAAACGTTTTCTGTAAGTCTTCACAAGGTTTTCACACACTGTTGCTGGTATTTTGGCCCATTCCTCCATGCAGATCTCCTCTCGAGCAGTGATGTTTTGGGGCTGTCGCTGGGCAACACGGACTTTCAACTCCCTCCAAAGATTTTCTATGGGGTTGAGATCTGGAGACTGGCTAGGCCACTCCAGGACCTTGAAATGGTTCTTACGAAGCCACTCCTTCATTGCCCGGGCGGTGTGTTTGGGATCATTGTCATGCTGAAAGACCTAGCTACGTTTCATCTTCAATGCCCTTGCTGATGGAAGGAGGTTTTCACTCAAAATCTCACGATACATGGCCCCATTCATTATTTCC